TTAGCCTTGTGGTTGAAGCGTTCGCTCGTCATGCAAAAAACCTGGTTCGATTACTTCCACAATGTGCGACGCCCTTTTCTCGTGTCCACTGCGTGATATTGCTGGAATATTGTGGGAAGCGGCGTAAAACCATACTTAAGCACTGATTATTATCCAGCGTTGACGTTGGATATTTATGTGTAAGGAAACGTAATATGTCAGGGTCACGCTGTGATAGAAGTAAGCTTGTAACTGATATATATATAAGGCTACGTCTTGTGTGTCCAATCCTGGTCATTAACTAATGCCAAAATGATTAGAGGCATACGTGTATGTTCTAGGAACCTGTAGCATTATGTCAACATACATAACATGATACACAGTACGTGTCCATGAATTAGTGAACAGTTACAGTCTCAGTTATATCAAGGTGGCACCCTAAGGTGAACCGGAAATAACACAAAATATGTGTGGTGCTGACAAACTTAGAATCATAATTGAGGACAAGCTGCGACTGAAACCATTCCGCGGATCCTGACACGACTAAGTAGCGCAACTCAGCGTTGCATTAAAACCACTGTTCAACCGTGTCCTCTCATGCATCAGCGATAGGTGAAGAATTCTCGAACGGACTGATATAATACAGCGAGTAACGAACACATCAACATATTCCCATTAAAATGACAGGACTAAGGTATCACCTACTTACAATGGCTACACCCACAGCTTTACTCTTTTTCACTCTGAAGAATTTTCAAAAACACCACCTGTGTCTAGTGTAATCTAGTTTAAGTAATTCGATGAGGGTTAAAAGGATATAGCAGTTTGAAACCTTCACCACAAGCTTTAAGGTGATCCTTACACACGGCAGGAGTAGGTCTTCCTTGGCGATCATTAGCACGGAGATAATCTCACATTAAAAAATCTCATATCATACGGATAATAAAGAAGCAGTGAAAATGTACGTCCACATAGGGTACTATGAACGTACTGATTATTGCCTTGATAATTTCCTTTGGTTCTGCTTCACTTCCTGTAATAGAAGAATGTCCACGTCCTTGCACATCACACATCTGAAAGACACCGAAATGTCTCTCTCATCTCGAATGGAATTAAACGTCTTTGGGGGAAAACAATCACCATCCATTCCAACTCTCCCTGCTGATTCCATTTGATGCTGTTTATTTCAATATATTCATTTCAATTAAACCCTGCTTAAGTCTCTAATTTCTCCTTACTGAAAGTTTGATCCCTGTATCAAAGAAAGTTGCCTCCCCGAGCGCGATCAATGATTGTGGCTGGGAAGAGAGTTCGGTCCTATTCCACACACGATTAGGCCACGTAGGCAATTTTGCAGTTCAACGGTGTTAGCCGATCTTGAAATCAATGTTCCTCATTACTCAAGAAAAAAGAAGCTTTGTAAAGGCTTGTGTATGCTTGGGTTGCCGCCTTCCCTTATCGGTGATTGCGCATCGTGGACTGGAAGATGCTGTACCATTGATAGGGGCAGCCTACTATTCTATTGGGGTGAAAACAAATTGAGATTAGTCCAAGCTTGTGAAAAAGGGTGTTGTATAAAATAGCTAGCGAGAGTAAATCAGGATTCATGTCATTTCCCATGTATCAACTTGTTTAAGCACAAACAGGTCTGTGGAGCTGGAAATGTCATCTGTTAAGTTCAGTCTAGCGGCACTTACTTAAAATGATGACTATTGACTGACCACAGCTTAGCGTGGTGCCTTAGCCTCCTCGAGTGTTAATATGTTTTCTTACAGACATATCGAACCATTGGATTTCGGGGATGTGAGAAAATCGCTACTGCTTGTTGCACATGTGAATGGACAATGTTTATTTAGTTAATGAGCAAGATTACCGAATTGTTTGCACGCGTGAAAAGATGAACATGTAACGGACATGATCAGATGATACCGCAGACATGTAGGCACCTGCGGCAGTTTGCACTGAATTGCAAGTATATGCATGTAACTGTCGTATAAAGTGCTCGTCAGAAGATTGCATTCACTTATCCTAACTCAAAACGATGACATAATTCTAGAATGTTGCATTGTTTAGCACCAGTGTTTGACATCAAACCTAACCTTGAACATATGCGTATGATTTGTTCAATGCTATGGATGTATACAGTTTGTGAGGTTGTGTGTGCGTTATGCGTGTGCGTGCGTGCGTGCGTGCGTGCGTGCGTGCGTGCAGTATCAATGTACTGTATAACTTAGCATGTGTTACTATTCTTAACTGTGCAGTGCATAAAGGACATACTTCATAAATAGTTTTATGCTCAGTCATTTGGCGTTTCCATACGCCTCATCAGGTCCATGATTGTGACGTCATAAGGACAGTACTTAACGTTGCATGATGTTAACGTCTAATCCCTATGAGCAGGCAGTGCTTACACAGTGTTGCACCACGTTAGCTTCAACCTGTATCTCGACTACAGGTTGCATACAATGTAACAGAAAGATCAATACGGCTTCTTTAAGGAAATAGCTTCACATCAGGACAGGTTTTACAATTTAGTACACATGACATAATGGCTCTTTTCCTTCCTTGTCTGAATATTTTCAAAAAAATCAATTATACTTAATAAAAGTAAAGTATCTCAAGTGCACATACCGATCTACATATGTATGAGAAAATGGAAATGAAAAACAGGCACAATTAATAAGGCCAGCATACCTTCGAGGAAACCGGCTTTGGGATAAGCGTAGTCCCAGTGCTCATAACACGGGGATTCTAAACAAATGACGAATTCCTCATTTTGATGAACTCGACGGTTCTTGTAGTGTTGCATATTGATCTGCAGATGACGCTTAAGTTTACGACCTGAATCCCGTACAACAGATAGGCGGGTTAAGGAATGATGGAATGTATTGATGTATCTTGATTGAATGTATTGATGTAGCTTGATTGAAAGCCATTTCTACCATTGGTACGCAGCGATGGCCACGTTGTTGGACCACTACCAACACGATCTGTTAACGAATAGGTAACATTATAAAATTGTACATTACCGGGTGAAATATCCGTCCCTTAATGCAAACGATTAATATTATTAATGTATTCTAGTAGGTGACTTTGGTAACTTGCGTGTAACTTTTGATGTGAATATAATGTGATTACAGCCTAAATTCCCGTCAAGTATCTGCGCCAATTAATATTTTTGTGTCCATTGAGTGGAGCGTATTTAGAGAATAAAGAACAGGCAGGCGGAACTGCTTCGGAATAATTATGGTCTTGAGATTGGTCCAGGGGAGCAAATACTTGCATGTGCCGAATGCTATTGACACCGGGAAGCGGCCTTCCAATCACTACTGGTAGGCCTGATCAACTAACGATGGATGTTAACATGTTAAGCATAGTGGTGTACATCCTTCTAGAGCATAATAAGATATTTTAACGAATAACGTGTAGCTATGATATTAAACAAGATGTTTTAGGAGCTGTCAATGTTCAAAACTTGCTAATTCTTGTGTATACAATCTGAAAAAACGTATGTATATACCACACAAAGATGTTCCAAGTAAGGTCATGATATCCCCTATTTAATCTCATATTTGTGTGATTAGCATTCAATAAACATGATCTAATGCATCAACTTATTTGAAGTGTGTACTACATTAATACTCCTTCACTCGTAATATTATTTTCAAACTTTAACGACAAAATGATACTCCAGTGTATGTTTATTCACACGTACAAATGTACCTTGAGGCTTAGGTGTCAACTCAGTACACGATCAGAGCGTTTAAGTTAAATGTATTGAGTGAGTGAGTGAGTTGGGTTTAACGCCGCTTCTAACAGTATTCCAGTTATATCGCGGCGTGTCAGCTTAATGTGGGAGGAAGGCCCAAAGTGATGCAGGTCTCAGACGTTTACCACTTCGGTGAAACCCACAAGCACGGGTATGGTGCTGACAAACCTAGAAACATAATCGGGGCGAACCGGGATTCGAACCCACGATCATAGGTTTCTGGCGTGCCCAAGGGACGCAACTCTGCACACCGAATCGCGGCGCCTTAGACGTCTGGGCCACCCGTATAATTGGGTAATTATATCTATTATAAGGTCGTGTACGTATGTACAATTGTTACATATATCTGTAAACAGATAAAACGTCAAAGCCAGGGAAACATCTATTTTTTATTCCGAAATTTACTATATTGAACTTCATGCAGAAAAGCATGATTTTGTTCTTTTGAAAAAAGTAGCTATATTAATTCCATGTTCAGGCAGAGCATGGGCAAAAATCTATTTCATCACGGTGATTTATTTGCTTTTTGTATCTATTGAGTCACGTTATATATTCGTTTTAAACGTTAGACGATTAAGGAAATAATTTAGTTCCTTTTCCGGCGTAAAAAAATCTCAGCTTTTGTTTTTTTAAAACATGGATTTGCTAAGTCGACGTCTGTACATAAGCGATAAGGCGGTATGATATATAGCCGACATAGGGCACAATGCTAATCAATGTTCTGTCTCCAGAATTCATGTTCTAATTTAGACGTCATTGTGGAATATCTATCAGTATCCCTATAATGATCAATACCAGACAGTACCATCATACCACGACAACGATTGCGTTGCAAAACATAAATTGGGATGGTGTTCTGAGAATAAAAGACAATAGTTATGGTTTAATGCTTTCGAATAGTTGTCTGAGGATTGGCAGATCTCCCGACAATTGGTTATCTCAAGCCACTTCCTAAATACAGTGTTTTCACATCCACTTGTTAAGTGGGTGCAGCTCCAGACCGATCTGAACCCGTTTGATGTACAACCATTGTATTGGCTTTTTCCAACAGATAATATGCGTCATCTATGAATGCAGCAATGGGCAAACGACTGCGTGGTTGACGACCAAGAACCACTGAACACTCAGCAATATGACAGCCCAAACAAGCACCGTCCTAGAAAGAGTGAGTGAGTTTGGTTTTACACCGCTCTTAGCAATATTCCATCACTATCACGGCAGGTCTTTGAAAGAACATTTGAACAATATACAATTATCTTTGTCAAAATATATACATTTATTTCACTTTCTATTAATGACATATCTACCCATGTGTAAATAATGAGCGTTTATATAAAACATGTGTTATGCTGAATGATTAATGCTGTTATTCATTGAAGCCTGTGTGATACAAGCAAATAGCTTTGCATGAGAAACAATGTTTTAGTACAAGACGTCATACCAGAATAATAGTACAGTCATGGATACATGATCGTGCAGATGTTATGATACCAATACCCTTGGACAAATAATACCAAGCAAAGCCATATTAACAAAACAGTTTAGTAGAATACAAAAGGTACATTTATGAACTGGTGTCCCGTCTCATCCTCCTGGTGAGAAATAAGGGACCGACTATTTGACATTCTAAACAATGAGCCTGAAATGTTTTGTTAGAAAAACAACAATGTATTTTTTGTGGCAAACAAATTTCTTTCAACAGTCTGAAATACGACTATTTCTTTCAAGAATTTTCGGGGACATTTTTTCCCCCATAAAATCCCAGAACCCCTCAGAATATCAAATGGTCGGTCTCTTGGCAAGATGAAACAAATTAAAGCACATATTGAGCACATATAAAACATACATAAATCTAAAGTGTTCACCTGATGATACCAATAATACGCCAGCACATTACATACATAATAGCCCGGACAGGTTCTAGCAGTGGTTTTGTTTGTTTCTTGTTTAACGACGCCCTCAGCAATATTCCAGCTATATGACGCCGGCTAGACGATCCAGTGATGATGAACATCGGTCTCCGCAATTGACATGCATCAACCAAGTCAGCAAGCCTCCCAATCCCATTTGTCACCTCTTACGACAAGCACGGGTGGCTGAGAACCAATTCTAACCCGGATCTTCACGGGGATCATGTGAACTAAGTTCTCTTGTATAACACACGAATAGGCAAAAGAATGAAGCTTATGAAGCAGTATTACAATTGCCTTTGCGAATTCGTGTAAAAACAATTTCCTGGCCTATTTGTTTGAGCACAAAAATTACCCTTTTTTTGCTTCAAAACGATCAACTTTCAAATATCACAGAAAGAATAATAACAAACAATAAATCAGCAAGAATATATCATATACAATGTACATGATAATAGATGTATGTGTTTTCCGTCTGTATTAGTACAATGAGTTTGTCAAAATTCTTAGTTAAGAATTAACATACCATTCCTTTCTATATTGTGTAGAATACACTAAATATAATATCTTTTCTCAACTTGATTCATCTGGTTCATGCAACAGAAATACATTCATGTCCAACCATCCTCTTTTGGTGTTTCGGCATGAATGGTCGTACATCATTCTGTTCAAAAGAGCAAGGCGACTGTCGAAATTCAGTTGATCCCACCACTCATAGATCACGGGCTGTAGTCACTAATGGCTGTCGTTTTAGTCATAGGGCTGATGATAAGAAGCACAAACGTTGACACCAAGGTTATTGTCAAGAAGATGGAGAAGAAGAACTTATCCATCACTCGAGCAATTTCTTGCCATTCATTCACTGCCACTCGTTCTGCGCGGCCCCTTTCATATGCTTCCATAAGAAGTCTCAAATATCGAACTATTTCTTTCTCCATAGTAGCTACAGGATTAGAACTTGGGACACCACCATTAGACGGTGTACCGCCTGCTCTCGGTCTTTGTCCCGACTCCACGAGGCCGTTCATGTGCAGGTCCAGCCTATGAGGATCATTCTGATAGTCTGTCCTTACATCTGCTGACGGGTCTTCGTGAACCTCTTGGAAACTTGGTCTACTGGGCCTCTCACGCCTGCCGAGATAGTTGAGTCGCATACAGAGAATCTTGCCCACAATGTTTGCTATGAACTTGATACAGACGGGAGGACGGTTGAGCAGGCCCCCCTTGTGGTGACAGTTGAGTACAAATACTGACAAGGCAACAGAAATGGCACTCATAGCCATTATGACGGTCAGGTAGATACCTGCAATGTCAAAGGGGACGATGAAAGAATTTGAATGACTATAGTCTTGGAAAATCATTTTTGACAAATTATTCATTTAGTTTAAGATACAACTTACATATACGAGGTAAGTGTGTGTGTGTGTGTTTCAGTTTGTTTGATATTTAACGCCGATTTCAGCAATGTTCCAGCTATATGACGACGGCCTGTATATAATCGAATCTGGACCAGACAATCCAGGGATTGATATTACGAACAACGTTCCAAGCCGCCAGGGTACGTTGCCACACCATCAACAAAATCACCGAGTATACCCACCAACCATTATGTCACCACGCGGGTTCTCAATTTAGTCACCCTTATGACCAGCAATGGGTGCTGGTCATATTCTGCCCTCGGTCCCCATCGGGTAACACTGGATCAACACCGATAATTAATGTTAGTTGAATATAATATTGCATTGAGGCAACAAACTGACCAGTATCCAATTACACAATTCCCACATAAGCCGGTTTTGCAGGTCAAAGACATCCGATCAAATACGATCAACCCTATACTGCCCATAATATTATTAGCCATAACCACTGTTCTTTGGAACACGGAAACCTGAACTAGGGATTACAATTCATGAACTATTTCACAAGATAACATAGAGATTTCCCTACTAGCAACAGCAAACTACTTGAAACCATCTTCGCGCTGTATGCGTGACATATTCAGCAAATATATTGATCAATTTGTCATGCTCCTGCTTAGTAGCACTTCCTTAAAAATCAATGATGAAAACGTGCCGGTTTTTGTTTGTAGAACTAAGTCTTATGAGACATAACTTGAGAGGACGCATATGTTAGGATCTGTCGCATACATGTATTCATTTGTGTTGGTCTTATTTAAATAGTCTCATTTGAATAGGATGTAAAATGAATAACAATATTTATTCATATTCTTGTAAATACGGCAAGTCATAATACAGGTTATCAAGGTAAGCTCAGCATTGTCATATTGTTTCACCCTCCGCAGCCTTAACGATGGCACGAAATCGCCATTGTCATCAAATCTGTAAATATCGTTATACGCAACTCACTTACCCATTGTAAAGTTAAACCCTTAACACTACCCATCATTACATTCCATTCTAAATTCAATCCTAATAGACCCTTCCATCGTCTAGGAAAGATTCATCCAGACACGGACATCTTTGATAATACCATCTGAGGACACCAATTTCACCCTGCTATAATTGGTCCGTATTTCAGGCTGTTACTTCATAACATGGGAATGTCTATTCAAGCAGCAACCATGATAACCCAGTTATCAATAGCCCTCATGTCGATGTTTCGATACCTTTTGAAAAAGCGACCCTATCAACCCTGGCTACCATTCGTTAAGTACATTCATTAGTCCTGGTGCTGAAACCACAAGGGGGCATTCTATGAGTGAGGACTAATAGAATTGCGACTGATCTATACTGTGGCACTTCAGCAGAAGACAGGACAATAAATCTCAAGAGGAGACTCGATGCAGCTGACTTTGAAGCCACTACGACAATCTCCTTATGAGACATTACAAGATTAAGACATCTTGAGAAGAAAGTGCCACCACACTTCATCCTTTACTAATAACTGACACTTTTGGAGGTAACAAGATGTAATTTTGAAACACTTTGATAAAATGTAACCCTCCCATTTGACAATTTCTCTAGCATCGCCTTTGATTCAATTGAATCTTCCGCGGTAGTTTGTTTAACGAATGGCCAATATGAACCTTGAGGTCACAATAAAGCTTTTTCGGTTGTCCATGTTCGACACCAATTACATTACGTGAAAAATTTAATTTATGTTTAACATCGATATGTTTGATCCCGAAACGTACATTATGTTGATGGACCGAAATATCCTGGCAACAATTCCTGAAAAAATTACCGACAAAGACATCTAAATGGCATCTCCTACTCTGCAAGGCTCCGATATCTTATAGTGTTTGTATAAAACAACGTATACGCTGTCATGAGATCCGCCGGACGGTAGCATTTGTCTGCGGCAAAATTGTCTGATCTAAGATTCAATCGGAGACGATGCAGTATAACTTGATCAGTGTTTCCCCGATTACGCACGATTTATAAGTTTTTTTTAGTATCATAAAATCGTATATACGTTGTGTGGCAAAGGCTGCCAATCGATACGCGTGTCATTAGCAGGAGCATGGTAGGAAGCATGACTTGCCATGTCGTGGGGGCCATGATCGGAACATTGTAGACACCATGGTTACCACTGAACAGACACTTTCATATTCTTATCAAAATACATTTTGTGACAATTGCCACTGTTACTTTAACTGTATGTTTCACAAGCCTACAGTGCATGTATAAAGAAACATTCTATACATCTATCTGTATTTTATATTTAGAACCTCCTCTATCTATATTTTCCATTTTATATTCTAGAATATATAGTTTTTAAACTTTATTCAATATTAACATTGGTACTATATTCAGGTTGGTCATACGCCATTGATTTATACACAATTTTACCATTAATGCATAAATATATTTTTTTAAATAACGTCGATATTGCAAGTACTCAAAAACACAGCTGAACTGAAGAGCCATTTCAAAGGTTAGATAAGGTGTTTTAAGTGTATCCCGCGTGCACTGACATTTAAGAGACGGATTCTTCCAGGTTAAAGGGATAGTCACAAAGTCTGTCTGTAATTACCAGTAACTAGCAATCAGGATCGCTGATAGAATCTCTAAAACTACAGTGAATAGACTCGATGGTTCGTTTACCATTTCCGACAAAGACTGCTTAAAGGGGCCAGTTTCAATTACATGTTAAATTACACGTGTCGTAATGATACTAAAGATAAAGGGGGATAAATGTCATCTGGACGCGTCCTCATTCTAGAAGTGTATCTGATCTGTTCAAAATATCTTATTCTAAATGTGGCAATTGTTAATGAGTTTAATTCTGTGTAAATGTAATGCACAAAAAGTCTGATACCGGAAGGAAGAATGATTAGATTTTCAAGACGAGTTTGATCAATGGCATTTTGATGCAATCGTTCGTGCCTAAGGTGTTTTACAAAGAAGCCTCTTACGCTACCCACAGTATATGCAAGATTCTTTGTCCCTGTAACCTTTCGCAACCGTTCTCTGTAGCGTAATTGCGATGCAATTTTTGGAAGTGGTGTAAGGAGTTTCTGTTCCAAAAGCTCCGCGTGCCTTCAAGAATGCAATAAAAGTGCTTTATTGAAGCATATGCGCTATTATATTCTAGAATTCAGAAGTTTGAAGAGGTAATATAGAAATCGATGGATCTCGTAATGTTTGTTTGGAAGATTTTGTAAGATAATATTCATCTGTTGGACTGGAATCCTATTTTCAAATATATTATAACTGTCGATTTGTGCGAAATATAGTTAGCTTGAATTCTTGTCATTATCAGGAAACATGTCCCAATGAAATAGTTATTACCCATACAAACTAAAACTCCTTTAGTTTCAAGACAGCGACTGAGTGGGTGTATATGTACTGTTGTCCGTCGCTTTAGGCACTATTTCAACAATATTACACTGTGGGACAACACAAATGTGGGCTGCACACCGTCTACCGTTGTTGGGAATGTCTTCGACTATTAGCTAACACGCTAACCACAGAGCTACCATCCTGTCTAAAGTGGTAACGAGTGTCATAAATGTTAATATAGGTCTCAGCAATATAAACACACATATATAATATTAATCAATAAATGTACAATTGAAATACCAATGAAATCAGCATCACCATAGTGCAACTGCAACACTACAATTGAAGCGTAATTTCCCTACAACTTATTTAGTCTTGAGTTTTTATTTTAGAAAATAATTAACTGATCCTACGTGTAAAATATAGTCCAGAATCACTCGTTGCCAAACATGCCATGTGAAGTCAGAAACCACCCTTGGTCTCTCAAATACTGTTTTCTTAAGTCAATTGACAAAAGGGATTATAAGCATACGCTCGAGGATATACGGAGTAACAGCAAATATTGGTGGTATTCACCGTACGATATGTACTCGCAAGAGCCACTTACGCCCTCCTTTGTTGCCAATAATGTCCGCTATATGAACAGACCAATGTGGTAACATAGAGGACGTCTAGACTTAGTCAATGGCGATGATGAAAGTTTCCCGAAGACGTGTTCCAGCTTTGAAAGGTGACATGTAGAACCGGTTGTCGTTCAATGAACATCATGATTCCATCAGTGGTGATGTTGGCAAATGTCTAATGGTGGGTGTACTCTGACGGGGTAGCAGTCATAGTTCCCCTATTCAAGTCTTGGATGAATCACTTCAACCTCTGAGTAACAAGACAGTTTTGGGACAGTTCCAGTTTCGTGTTTGGCTAAGATTAAGCTAAGTGGTACTTTTACTGCGACGCGACAAACCTGACATCTAAGACTGATCTAAATCATTAGATGGAAAGACTAACAATATGGTCCTGAATAAGTGTTTGTAGGAAGTTATTGCCAGGTGAATCCTACAATTTCGGAAAACGTATTACAACATGTATCACGCAATGCTGTCCCCTACCCCAACCCGATCTCTAACCCGCCATCCAAGTTTCTTATGTTTATACTCCTCATCATCACACATTGCATCGCTACCATAGCTACGTTCGTTTCTAACGTTCTCCTACATATTCTGGTATAAATGGTGTATCGCTTCGTCGAGTGACAGGAACTAACAGCAAATGTACTAGTCCAGATGAAATACAATTTACATGTCTGCTGACCTTTTCATATGCCAATAACAGTGTGATTTCAGATAGTGCACTCTCAGTTACCATCGTTTTGTTTGAATGCCTTCAGTTGTGAATGGTAAAGATTACAAATTTGATCTTGGAAGTGGTATCACATGCGGGCGAGACAGGTTAAACTAAGATATCATTGCATACATTTTTTAAACGTCGTGACTCAGGTTACAGGTCTGACGCAGTTGCGTTTACAGTATTAAACAAGGGGTATCAATAACCAGAAAGACGGTTATTTCAACACGTTCACACCCTAAGTGTGCCATGTTGAATAACCCTCACCTAATATGCTTCTATACACACACATTTATACAAATTCAGAAGCCGATTTCGGTCATACATGTTTCAGAGGATTCTTCATGGGTCTGTTTACTCACCTATAAGGGGTATATATTCCGATGTTGGTGGCATATTTTCCGCCACCAGCAGCATAAACACTGAAAACGCTAGGAGTACTGTGAGCCCGAGTGTGACCTTCTCCCCAGAATCCGGGGGCAGGAGGAAACCCGTTAGAGAAAGGCTGGACAGTAACATACACGGTATTATCACGTTGAAAAAATAGTACAACACTCTCCTCCTTAAATGGATATAGAACGTCACATCCGGAAAAGGTTCATCGCAACAGGGGTAAAATATAACGTTTCGAACAACCTTGGTATCCACTAGAGTCCATTCTCCATTGTCCACAAAGTTGGACAGATCGACCTCCGATGTTCTGTTGAGCACGTCCACCTGGAATCCATCGTACGCCCAAGACCCCATCTTCAGACGGCACACCTGGTCATCGAAAGGGAAGTAGGTGATGTCCATCTTACATGATGACCGAAAACGTACGATGGGTGGCCAAAACACGTTGCCGTCATTGCCAACCATTGCCAGACTGCGCATGTACCTCTTGTTATGGTTGTCCACGCTGGAAGGGTGACCAGGATAAGGTTTATTTCTATAGACACAAATCATGGATGCAATACAGAGTACAGTGCCATGAAACTACAAGAGTTATTAGCTATAATTTGACTCTTTTACTCTGCATCAGACAAATACACAATTCAATTTTGCCCTGGAACAAGTACGTTCTTACGCATTCAATGATAGCAAAGTATTTTAGTAATCTGTGCATAGATTACATTATACTTACTGTATTTTAAAATGAACAGAAATGCAAAACAATGAATACAAATACTGTTGTTTTCTGGCGTTTTCAATATTTTGTGTACGCGTATTATTCAATATTTATATAAGATCACTTGCATTAGAACGCTACCGAATGTAGTAAAAATAGAGAATTTCACCAAAGTGTCTTTTGATATCAAATATATCAACGAGTGTTGATATTTTTCATATCAAAAGACAAGAGGTTAGATTTTATTTATCCTCCAACATCGACGGTAATAATCCATATCATAAATGTAAAAAATACTGCAATAGCTTCAGTAGCAGAGCCATTAGTGATGTCATTTGATTGAGACGTTATGGTAACCAATGACGTCACAGTGGTCTGCAAAGCATTGTGATCGAATTTCATTGCAGCGATATCTACAATGTAGATATCGCTTGATCTCACCCAAGCGAAATCTCCTGTGGGAGCCAGTTTTGGATGATAAATACCAATTACATTCAATGAAGCTATTAACCAGAATATGTTAACATATACAAATACCGGTACCTGTTGTACAGTACAATGTCTGGCAGCCATATGAGATCACATGGAACTCTCAGTACTGTAATGTTGGCATAATCCGTTGTGTTCCATGTAAGCTTCTCGTCTCGCCACTCCTGAAGGAATATCAGAACAATTAATGTCCATGGACAATGTTAAACTTGTGTCATACTCTTGGCACAAACTATCATACTCTTACATAAATATCATAGAATATAACGATGTTTCGCTGTGTGCATTAACACTAGAGGGTTTTGTAATTATGTATCATCGAGCTTTTTGTGTGGCGATGATATTTTCAATCAGGTTTCGTCGTTTAGAGGATGTAATGTGAACTGCATGGGACGACATTTTATAAATTTGCATTTCAGAAAACGGACAAAATCGTCATTGCATTAATCGATAGTGTTTCTCCCTCCATAAATCGCTCGTGAATGTCCATTTAGAAAAGTCTCATCTTTAAGCCAAAGTTACTGTAGATACACCCCTCGAAAACACAGCCTGTAGACAAAGACCTTATCAACATTTAATTGTGGACATTGTTTGTAGTATGTATGTCTCCATTCGGATATTATACGTCTTTCGTCTTCTTCCGGTAGATCCACATGATACAGCTATCGCTTGAGCAACTTTTAGAGGTTTCAGGTCACTGGATAGCGTCTTCTCTTTCAGCAACAGTTCAATTATTCCCGATTAAAGCTACCAGCGACCAAGGAGAAAGTATTTGTTTTATTAAGGCATCAATCACTACAATTGGAAAGCAAATATTTGCCTTTTAAGTAGATGTTTGTTCGTAGATTTCGATAAAGTGGTTGATCGCTTCCTTCTGAAAGTTCTCCTTGGCTGTGCGACTCTACAACTGATAACAACGGAGGGCAATTTCGGGTATAGTTTTTTCCGCTCTGGACGACGGCCTGTATGGTCATTGCTGATAGTGATGCACATTTGATACTGATTTATATAGGCTAGGGAGCGCTAGATTGATCACTGGTTAACGGTGATGAAATGGTTTCGTTGAACATATCAGCAGGGTAACCATTTATCACTGACGTCAACGTCGATAAGAATTTGATTTTGCTGTGTTCATGATTTAGAGACTTCATGGTATGGACGTCTAGGATATTTCTTAAGCTCATAAGTTAAACATTTCTCAAGGTTTCGTTCACCAATATCATTCCATATATGAAATATAATCCATGTACTGATGCAGTTTCAAGATAGGTAATTGCATTAGTTTTCAAACTGTTACAGTAAATGCAATTATATTACCATCTGGTGGTGATCTGTGGAGTTGAAATTGCAGCAATAATACAATTCAGTATGAAGTGAAGTTATATTCTGTCTTAGACATGCATTATTCATTCTCGGCAGTAATGTCGCACTGATTTGATACAAAAGAGGCTTAATGAAATCACCATATCTTGTCACATTATTGTCGTCGTCGGTGTCAACACTACAACGTCTTAGAAAATCATTAAAAGTTTCAAGTACCAAACCAAAATCATATCGTTAACTGCAACGATGAACATATTTATTCCACACGTTTTAAAGACGTATGTTTGTTTGTTTGTTGTTGAACGCCGTACTCGGCAATATTACAGCTATATGACGGCTAAAGACGTATGATAAATACAATTTGAACTTAAAACAAACGCTTACATTCAAATAGTCAGAACGAGCAGTTAACCAATGCATATAAAATATTTTACCTGATCCAACCATACATTGATTGACAGCACTTGATTCTTCTCGTCCTGAAATGAAGCAAACATATATCAAACACTGTCATGCAAATTCACAGAAAAATATCAGCTAACGCTGAGGACCCCCTCCCCACTTTCATCCTTACATCTTCATCTGCAAAAGGTTTGCTTCATGAAAACGTCATCAATGATCAGAATTTGACCTTCTGCACTACAATTGCTACCAGATAAGACTATTAAGGTATATCAACTGCGATCACATCGTGTCATCACTGATTTTCAGTGATCCATTCATGTAATTGTCACCCGTTATTTTACCCGTTACGCCCAACTGAATCTGTTTCAGAGGATGGACAGGACGGATTATTTCTGACGTTGATCATTTGTCTTTATGCCACTATACATTTATAGATTTACTGAAATATTGTATGCATGTTCCCATCAATATTGTGGCTAATATAAAATGTCAACGCCAGAAAAAAACTAGTCTCGATTATTCGCCGAAACAGATTCTTTTGGGCGTAAAAGGCAAAATAGAGGCTGAAATTATATGATTGGATAGAACTAATCACATAATGCAAAACTGCTTCTTGGAGCTCTTAGTTTAAATCTGTCACACCTAACTTGGTTGTAGAGGACTATGATTCTACGATTTCGTCAAAATATGACATCTCGTCCCATTGAGAAGCTACCACTACTCTGGACCAATACATTTAGCGCCATTACCTTGATTGCACTCCTTGCAAATATGTCTTATTCCTACAAATCCATATATTGTATGCGTCCGTGTTCGGGGCACAACCGGTTGATTACTTTGAAGCATTACAATCAGACCAACTGGGCACAGGTGCAAATCTACGCCATCGACAGATTGGCTGTTGAAGAGTTGAGAGTAATTCTAACGCATTGCTTCTCTTTGTGAATGAATACGGTGTCAACTTCACGCTTGCTTTTGTACCTTTTGCACCTGCTTTGTTGTTTCTGTAACAGTTTAACAACTTGGAAAAGATCAATTAATGCTCCCCTGATATGTTTCTTTTTTTCTGTCAGTGGCGTTGTTAGATCTACGTGTGACATTACTGTAAGGCGACTTTGCTTGTCGTAAGAGGCGACTAACGGGATCGGGTGGTCAGACTCGCTGACTTGGTTGATGAATGTCATCGTATCCCAAACGCGTGGAACGATGATCATGATATCAATCAATGGATTGTTTGGTCCCGACTCGATTATTTACAAACCGCAGTCATATAGTTGGAATATTGCTAAGTGCGGAGTTAAACAACAAACAAACAAATCTTACTGTAGCATAACCAAAAGTGTTTCGTGTTATCCTAATGTCACCTAAACGTATATATGATTCATAACGCTCATGAAAATAGGTACTGATGTCTCATACTATTGTATTTCAAGAACATCTCGCTCTCCATCTAATTTGCACATGTGAAAAACAGTTATTAAGATCATGATCACCAGGCGTATGTCTACTAAATCTGTTTTCGGAGAACTAGCACACTCCTATTAAATATGAACTATCGAATGTCTTTCAGAAACTCTGACAGAAATATTTGTGTCCCGCTAAGAACCATGGCTGATAAAAGAGTACCCACAGCCCAGCGAATTTCAAAGCTGCACGTGATCCTTAAAATTGACATCGCGGTATAAAGAACCCCCTCCCCTCTTTCATCAGTTTGGGAATTCATCTCAGTACTTTGTAAACATGTTTTAGCTGTTAAAAGACCCCAATGTACACATCACGATGTTAGCGGCATGTCACCACAACATCTTGTCAGGTCCACAAATGCTTGCCACACGAAATGAAATAAATTTAATGGATCGACCCTACATGTTCGATCATGGTAACTTTGTTCTGCTATCAGTTCACTGCAAACTTAAGGTTTCTTTATGATTATAAAAGTTCAGTGACTTTCAGTATTAGAGTAGTCCTATCTTGAAGCAAACCATTTCCTCTTCGTACATGTTCCATTGTGTGAAAGGTTTTGCATCTTTGGTGATTTTATACACTTCGTCAATATACATTGATTTCAGTTTGTTCTTTCGGCAATCTCCCAAATTAACTCATGCAGACGCTGTTTGACTTTGAGACAAGTTTGTAATCAATCAGGATGGGAAAAATAGGCTCCTTCTTACGCGAATATTTTCTTCAAAGGTTGGTATTACGTGACTTACATGTATGGCGTTTTTCAAGATAATGGCGTGATTTGTCTGGCATATATAATGAGGTGATCATGTACAGCATTATTTCCATTAGTTCCATTAGTGTCCCATTGATAAATTAGATTTTCTGCACAGCAAAGTGAATTATTAGTTGAATAATTTGTTACATCATGTCAGTGATATGGCGTGATATTCCGCAGAAAAATACATTTTGTATCAATTGCAGCTGGCATTGAGAACAAATAGTGATATACTGCTAACGATTAGTCTCTGAAAATACATAATTTTTATAAGAACAAACAACTACTTTTATATTGGAAAAGAGGCCCAGTGATTAGGACAATCAGAACTTGTGGAAAATGTAGACTTGCTTCTTTTGGGACTATATAACTACAGTAAAGGTCATGCGGAAGAGAAAATATCATGGTCGAAGGACTGTGAGACAGACTAGTGATACACTTACGACATCCAGAACTTGCGTTAGCGTTATTCCAAGCTGAATTTTGACAGGGTGGGTAGCATCAAACACTGGCCGGACCGAAGAATCGTAGTTTTCACGTAATTTCTTCAACAGTCTCTGTTCGTCTGTAAGTCGGCCCCTTCCAGTTGTGGCCACTGTAACATAGAATTGTCATAGAGTATAATTGCACTGCTGGTACCTCGTGAAATAGTCGCATCAATATTCATGTAAATATTCCATAAATAAAAGCGAAAAATAATGTCCATTATTATATGACATCTCTCCCGAAAGCAGAGACAACTGTACAATTCCGACTATATCATGAGCATGTGTGTATGAATCACTATCAAACTGTGATGATAACAGGTGTTTGGGAAATGGTTAGTGTATCCTGCCCCACAAGTAACACGCGTCACAAAAACATCCAAAGGCAAGTCAAGTGTTCACCTAAAAAAACCCGGTAACATATAACAGAAGTGAAACTAAGAAACTGCATCAGACATTATTTTTGTCAATGATCCGTCAACTTGGAAATGCCCTCCCTATATCTACAATAAAACGATTTGAAACCTTTACTGGGGCCTTGAATGTTGTAAGAAACTTCGGGATCAACTCGTAACATGTATATGCGGATTGTTTGACGGGCTGCCGTTCAACTATCTCTGGAAGCATTGTGTACTTTTACTCACTTGTAAATGTTTGTAAACATAGATTTAACACATAGCGCTTTCTTTACAGTTGGTCTTAACCATGAGAGGCTTCCGGCACACGTACTGTAAGGTAAACACTTCAAGATAATGCACGAGACCGATATTTACTTCAGAAACTAAGGTACGACATAAACAACATTTGCATACATTCATATACATTAAACTACGGTTATAACGAACTCAAAGGGACTAATAATTTTAGTTCGTTATAACTGTAGTTCGTTATAAGCATATATACAGCATAACTACAGCAACGAGTCGGGACCAAAAAGTAAGTTCGTTATATCCGTCAGTTCGTTATAATCGTGTTCGTTATAACCGTAGTTTACTGTATATACAACATATTTGTAATCACAATGTTCCTGAATAAGTTCTAGTATTTCGATGAATATTACATTTCAAAACATCAGATGGTGTCATCGCTTTACACAAAATGTATCAACCATCCCCCTCTACGATACGCAATATATCAAATGAATAGGTCCCATCATTGTCATCGTACCATATACATGTATATAAACTTATCGACACATTTGCTTTAGTTTGGTTTGGTTTGTTTGTTGTTTAACGCCCCACTCAGCAATATTCCAGCTATATGACGGCAGTCTGTAAATAATCAAGTCTAGACCAGACAATCCAGTGATTGATATCATGAGCATAGGTTGCTGAAGACCTATTCTGTCCCGGATCTTCATGGGTATCGGTTCCTTTGAATGGGGTTGACTTATAAATAAAATAGGGGGCACGGGTGGCCAAGTCGTCTAAGGCGCCGCGATTCGCTGTGCAGAGTTGCGTCTCTTGGGCATGCCAGAAACCTATGATTGTGGGTTCGAATCCCGGTTCGCCCCGATTATGTTTCTAGGTTTGTCAGCACCATACCCGTGCTCGTGGGTTTCACCGTAGTGGTAAACGTCTGAGACATGCATCACTTCGGGATTTCCTCCCACATTAAGCTCACACGCCGCGATATAACTGGAATACTGCTGAAAGCGGCGTTAAACCCAACTCACTCACTATAAATAAAATAATGAAACAGGAGTATGGGGAACAGTTTAAATGGCTCCATAACGCCTCTTTAATCGTCAACATCTATATTATATTGGAACATGAAACGTTTATACAACAGACACCGGCATACACCACACAGGCACATACTCCTTAAAATAACTGCCCGTTTATGAAATCTAACGTTCGAGTAAGTTCAAAGTTTGTTTATTTGTTGCTCTACGCAATTAGGATACGCTGATATACATTATCCACGTCAGCGACCCAAACTACTCGACCCCGATAGCCGCGTCTTACGACAAGCTGAAGACCAATCTTCATGGACCCTCATTCAAGAACAGACCTGTGAAGATCCGGGGTAGAATAGGTCTTCAGCAACCCATGCCTGCCGTAAAAGGCGACCATGCTTGTTTGTGAGAGGCGACCAACAGGATCGCGTGGTCAGAATCGCTGACTTGGTTGATGTATTTCATCGTATACTAATTGCGTAAATCGATGCTCATGATGTCAATCACTGGGTTATCTGGTTCAGACTCAATTATTTACAGACCGCCGTCATATAGCTCGAATATTGCTGAATGCGGCGTTAAACAACAAACAAACAAACAAATCATTCCAAAAAAACACACACTAACAACGGTGACTTATTCTCATTAATACACAACTATGCCATTGCTCTTTGCACAAACACTGTGATGCTGTGACACCATAATTAATATCAATATATTTGAAATGTAAAATCTCTAATATTTAATGGATCTGCAAGATGGAAAACCAATGTTCGTTTTACCGCACGAGCTGTTTTCAAGACCAGGATGGAACGTGATCAATATTCGTGTTGAGATTGGTCCCCTTAATTTGACTAACGACATGGGCATGAGGTTATGTGTGTGTGTCAAATGAGGGGTGATAGTTGGTGGGCTTTCTGAATAGCAAATCATGTTTACGACCTTTGGGCTTCAGGATTACAGTCTGTTAACCGGCTTCAAAGTAGGCTGGAGTGATCACGTCACCGTCGTGAAATTATTCACACAATGTACTCAACAAAATTAACTCCTGCTGTCCATAGATGCCACATTGTATTTTATGATTGTCCTGTGGATGTTTCCCATCTTACAAATAAAGACTAATCTTTAAGACTGGCTGATTACGTTGTCTAAGCGAATCTCACGGAGTTTAGAACCCCAGTCATTTGGCTTCGTATTCACTGGCATACATCCTCCGGCAGAATTTCACAACGCATAAGACAACTGGTGCCAAAGGAAATCTTGCCATGAATGTCGATATATAAAGGATGGCCCTCGAAGCAAAGGAAACCATCGTCATAAATATTAAGAAAGAGGAGAGATGGATTTTGGAAGAAGCTAATGAAGTATACACCTACACGCAGGGGAAATGTTTTTGTTATAATTGTTTCTAATGAAATCTAAAGACGTGTTTGTATATCCCATTGTTTATTTTGGCAAGGTGGCGTTTGGGACATTGAATGCAGGAATGTGTTCCTGGCACTTCTGGCTTTTGATCTTTACAAATAGTCTTTAACTACACACGACGGAATGCTCTATTGACCACGTAAACATGACGGACGGGTATGGGGAGCGTGGGCCGTGTTAGAACTGTAGGATCCCGGCTGGGAGTTTGACTGATGTGCATAGCGACTTTCGTATAATCTCATAATAGAATTCATTGCTGGAGCACGTTTGCTGATTTGCGTACTTTCAGCTTCCCAAACTTTGATGATTTGTCTTTATCACAAGACTGTGACGTAAAATGTCTAATGTAAACATGAACGACGTAAAATGAAACAACATAATTTCTTTACCTTTGACGGTAGGTCATCTGGTTGTATTTTTTAAACTTTACTCTTTTCCAAGTTTGTTCACCAGATTAATCAGTCATATGAACAATTCAGGTCTCTTTGTCGTCATTATTTCAAACACCAAGACCAACGTCAAGTCGAACAACGAAAATTAATGAACCGAAATTAATTAACCGCCTGTGGTTTCAAATTGGAAGTATAATAGTCAAACCCACTTCATGGAGGGATTACAAGCAAAACTAACAATTACATAATAACACATCGGGGGAAATGAGTAGGACATCTGTTTTGTTTATGGGTCTTTAGGTCGATTCAAGAGGACAAGCCTAAACGTGTTGAGTGCGTGACACCTCAGGACTGGCTATATCGATGCAAGTGTTGTGAAGAGACTTAATGGTCTCTCGGTGTGAAGGTAAAGTGTCCTGGCCCCCACCTGCTGTCATCTGTAGTGTACACTAGACAGTCGATTTCTGGCATAAATCCTCCGTGTGGTCATTAAGGAGACACAAGCGGCTATTAAACCTATCTTGGTAAATGTGAATCCAATGTCGGGATACCGGGCTGCTGAGAACATTGTCACAACTAATGAGCTACTTTTGGTTCTTCTCGTGGTATGGACCATCTGCTTGAAGGCAATAGGTTTGGCGGGTTAATATTTGCGTGAGTAAGTTATGTGTGGTAAATAAAACTTCGTACAAAAAGAGATGCATTGCACGGTCCAGCAAATGTACCACCTAATTCCTGTAACAAAGATTAACCACAATTATTATTTCAATTGGGGAAGGATTTTTTTAAAATTCACAAAATGTATTTGAGACATGTGGAATTAATACTGTGTGGTTTCCCAAAACTTTGCTTGCCTTTTTGCCATCTCAGAAACGTTCACCAAGTTCCATTCTGTCAAAACATTTGATTTCAACTTTGTACACCACAGTGACTATCCCACGTGACAAACATAAGGAAGAACGTCACTCCTTGATCAATGGGGATTTTGTTACAAAACCATATGACCACAGATACAGTTAGCAGGTTGACGGCAATTTTTCAAAAATGAAAGCAAATTGCCGTTCTATCTAACACCTAAAGACATGTCCATTTCTCTTGTGTACCTCTTCCAAAGCTCAATAAAAAATCCGTACAAATTCGCATTATGCGATGTGTCACTAAAACCAAGTTCTTTGATCAAACAATTATGTAGTGATGCTTACAAATAATGGTAATGTTATTTGATGCCTTGTTTGGATGGCAGCTGGATGGGACAGAATGGGTTTATGCCAATTCTGTTTCCTCTTTTTCAGATTGTGAATTCTTCCAATGACAACATCACGCACTGACTTAACGCACTCTGAAAGCCATTCAACATGTTCCTCTTTTCTTTTTCACCCATTTTTGGGAACATATGCTTCCGCAGCATCTATAATGATATTAAAAAGTTGTGATCCCAATTGGTAGTAGACCGCTCACGATATTTTGGTCAATATTTGAAAAACTGATGACGGTTGTTATATTGAACACTAGAGAAGTCACCTATGATTATAAGACCAACAAGAAACAGGATGATGAGTCTTGGCAGCCACGAGAAGTGGAATTTACGTCATGAGTGCTACGTGCACGTTCTGCA